GAGAACTACCCTCTATAAAACCGTCCCAGATACTGGCTTTTGTCAAAGCCCTGGGACTGTATGATGAGTTATGATTCAAGAAAGGGGGACACAATGGATCTGTAAGGTCGAAGTGATTAACCCCCCTCCCACTCATTCTAAATTCTAAAAAAAAATTCTACACCCTGTATATTTTATTTTAAAAAATACTATTTTATTAAAAAATAAATAAAATAGATGTTTAATTTTAATTTATATACATATACAGGGTCCGGCAATAGTGCGTCGGGCATCTGTAGCTCCTAGAATAAAAAACTTGAGAATTTTGTTTAAGTGCAAACCTAAAGTATGTATGAGGATGTATTTCCGGAAAATATTTTAACTTCTATAGGGTGGCTCAAAAAAGTGTCAGTGGATCTGGATGATTTTTTTTAAATGGAACACCCTGTATATTATTGCATTTTTGGCTTCCTTTCAGATCACTTTACATAATCCTAAGATATGAGTAAATCTATTTCCATTAGTTTCAGAGATATTAAAGAATAAATCAAAAATATAAGTTATTCAACACTTCTTAAAAAAAATATTAAAAATACAAGAACTGTTCTGAAATCAAAACTATATTAGATATTTACTTTAAAAGGTCTGTTCTTACTTTGCTATAAATATAGTAATCATAAATCATATAGGATGTTCAATATTTTACGCCAAACTTTCAAAAATATAAAATAATTTTTGTTCGTTTTTTTAAATGGAACACCCTGTATATTATTTTTTTATTTGATGGAGAATTAAAAAATTAACATTTTTTGTATTTAAAGTATTTCAAAATTTTTAATAGTTTTCCGGATACACGCAGTATTATTTCATATGGCGCTTTCAATGGTAAAATAAGAGAGAAATCATTGGGTGGATTTAATAAAAATTTATTGTGGAAAATGCCATATGAAATACAAAACCGGGAATATCTGCGAAACTGTTAAAAATTTTGAGATACTCTAAATGCAAAAAAATGTTCATTTTTTAATTCTCCATCAATTGATAAAATAATATGCAGGGTGTTCCATTTAAAAAAACAAAGAAAAATTATTTTATATTTTAGAAAGTTTGGCGTAGAATTTTGAACATCCTGTATGATTTACAATTTCCATATTTATAGCAAAGTAAGTACAGACCATCTAAAGTAAATATCTAATATAGTTTTGATTTTAGGACAGTTCTTGTATTATTAATAATTTTTTTAAGAAAGGCTGAAAAATATATAATTTTTATTTATTTATTAATATCTCTGAAATTATCGAAATATATTTACTCATGTCTTAGGATTATGTAAAGTGATCCGAAAGGAAGCCAAAAATGCAATAATATACAGGGTGTTCCATTTAAAAAAAATCATCCCGATCCACTCACACTTTTTTGAGCCACCCTATAGAAGTTAATATATTTTCCTGAAATACATCCTACATACTTTAGGTCTGCACTTAAACAAAATTCCTAAGTTTTTTTTTATTTTAGGAGCTACAGATGCCCGACGCACTATTGTCGGACCCCGTATATAGTAAGGATCTAAGAAAATATTTTAAACTTTTATTAAAACTGTAGTTTCCCCTTGGCTTAAGGAAACAAATAAACCATCGACGAAATAAAATGTTCAGTGGACTGCGCAGTTGCCACGTATAGCACAAATAATTATTGACAAAAACTAAAAAATCATTTAATTTTATTAGAAGTTATAAGAAATTTAAAAAAGGCTTTTGCATATCATCATGTTTTATTTAACTAGAACATCATGTGGATGTTTTTGTCTTGAGGAAAATTGCCGAACTGACTATTGGTGTCATTCATTGATTTTTTGAACTCAGTGCCTTTCGATGGAGTTTCAGAGTTTTCAACAATTATTACAGCAGCATCCCTACTCCCACTAGACGTACTTGCACAGTACTTGCAAAACTCAATCTTCTGTTGAAAGGTCCTCTATTAACCCTTTAACGAGTCTTTGTTTCGTGTTTATACTAGCCGATTGAAATTAAACTTTTAAGCGTCCACCAGTTCAGCTTGAATTCCCTGTAACTAATAAAATGCCTTATAGCCACGATTTATTCTATTTGCGAAAATTGTTTAAGGAAAAGCAACTTTTTTTCTATTTTCGATATAAAACAATGGAAAATGATTGCAAATGGGTCTCAACACCTTTCGTTTTATTGTCACTAAGAAAGTTGGAATCCAAAAATTGCATCATGACATCCCACAAAACGGTCAAACTGGCCTTAGATGTTGATTTTAAAAAGCCTGAGGGCTTCAAAAAATTCTTGGCAGCTGACTTCAACCTAACCTAACCGGTGAATCGGTGAGAGATAAATATGGGTACAAATAAATATGGGCGTGGAAACTACAAATATTCTAGCATCAAAATTGCTTACTACTTTTTGGTAACTATTGGTAACTCAAAAGATCTACATCATTCAATATATCGATATTTGATAAAAAAGTGAAAGTTTCATATCTGCAGAACAAAAGCACGAAATATTTTAACGAATAATATACGTGTAGTATAAAAGTAAATAACATAATTTGGTTTTGGAATAGAATGTATAAACACTTGTAAATATTTTGTTTTCGTATGACCTCTGCCTTGCTGAGCAGAAAACGGCCTTAAGTTGATAAAAATGTATCGAAATACATACAAAGAATATATATAACCAAAAAATAATTGATGCATTTTTATATCTATTGGAATGCCTACTATTAATAATTCATCAGTACACATTTCTTGGCTTATTTCTAACAAAACGGTTTCGTCCCGCTAGAATTACCGTCCGCCGCACTGTGCGCAAGGTGAAAATATGCTCTAACAACAGACTGAACTATGGCCACCGTCTAAAAATATTGTAATTAAAATTTTTAGACGGTGCATTGGCTATAACCACCTAAAACTCTTCTGGGGGTGTGGTGCTAGCTCTGTATTTTTTGTTTAGTAAGTTAGGTGCTAGATAGTGCTAGGTGGGTGCAATACAGTGCTAAAGTTTTAATGGAAATAAAAATAAAGCGAAATAATAAATACACTATAACTCTTTTGGGGGTGTGGTGCTAGCTCTGCAAATTGGGTGCTAGGTAGTGCTAGGTGGGTGCAATAGAGTGCTAAAGTTTTACGGTAAATATTCAAGCAGGGGGGGCTAGCGTTACATTAACCTCTCCCGGTAAAAATGTCCTGTAACTCGCTAGGGGTTGTGGTGCTAGCTCTGTAAGTTGGGTGCTAGGTAGGTGCAATACAGTGCTAAAGTTTTAAGGAAAAAAATCAAACAGGGGGGGGGCTAGCGTTACATTAGCCCCCCCGGTAAAAATGTCCTGTAATTCACTAGGGGTTGTGGTGCTAGCTCTGTAAGTTGGGTGCTAGGTAGTGTTAGGTGGGTGCAATACAGTGCTAAAATATTAAAGTGTTTGGACAACCGGGGGGGGGGGCTACTGTAACGGACCCCTAAACCTGGTTGAAGTATACAAAAAAAAGACAACTGATATATTTGATTTATTCAATGGTTTTCTGTTCGTTTGAGCATTTTTAATCTTAAAGATCCAAGCGAGGTCTTCCCGGGACCCAACATGAGAATTTACCTTGTAGGTACTTATTTATTTTTTTCCATAGCAACTGTAAAAATTGTCTTATATCTATCAAAAATAGTAGATAAAATAGTACTTTAACCGCAAGGGTAGATTAAATGATACTTTAACAGCGAGGATAGGTTAAACATTTTATTTCTTTTCGCACCTTTTTTAATTGCTTTCATTTTGGAAATTTTTTGTATTCCTCCTATCAGCAATCGACACGAAAGAGAATTAAAAAATATTGACTCAAAACTGACAACTAAAGAAACAGCTTTATTTATTTTTCAAATTACATAGAAACCAACGCCAACCCAGTACAATATTGTTTCTACTCATAATAAACTCCTTGAAATAATAATTTCTGAATATTTATTAAAACGTAACTCGCTATGGAAAAAAATATTGTTTTATACACGACGATAAAATAGCATTATCGTCTCCCGAAATTAATTCACTCGCGATTTCATCGTTCGTGAATTAATCTTTTCGGTCGACGCGACGACGATAAAATACCATAACATACAAAAAATAACTATTTGTATATTGGCAACACCGCATTTAGCTATGTAACTCCATTTAGCTAAGTTACACTCATTCTAGCATGGGTGGTTAAGGGTTAAGCTCGGTTCATTTCAAAATTAGATATTCACCAATAAAGAGAGTTGAGACCGAGACTTAGAGTCTTATTGCTTTGTCTTTTGTATTTATAAACCAGGTCTTTTTGAAAATAAAGGAATAAATAGATAATAATAAAAAGTAAATAACCGGGTTCAACGGTAAATACTATTATTAGAGAAAATATAAATTAATTAATACCAAATTAAATCACTAATTGGTAAATTCCAAACCATAAAAGTATACATAAACTAAAAAATAAAAAAAGATTCGGCATATTTTAAATTACCCATGGAACTTATAGGAATAGAATGGACTCTTCATATTTTAAAGAAAGTGAACTTGAAATAAAATATTGAGGCATAATTGTGGCATACGTATAACAAGGGTATAACTATACATTTATGTGTAGAAATAAACAGAATGTTAAATAGACCATCACACGTAGACTTTCACGGAATGCATGTCATGACAATTGTCCAGTTAAAACAAATCGACATAAATAGAACCTTGACAGTGACCGAGGGCGATGAAAGTAACAAATTCAACGACTACGTATCGGTCATCTATGATTTGCTAGAACCGTCAAACAAATTTCACTTCGTGGTTTCGTTTTTTAAATTATATATATAACGCAACCACAGATAAGCACCGACAATTTCCTACTGTATATTTGGTTGCATACCTTTCAAAAAAGGTGAAAACGTTTGAAAATCATTTCTATTTTATTGATTGCGAGATGGTACTAGTTAGAGACATTTTTTCTAATATTTTTTTATTATAATATATACATTTGAGTTTCTTACTTTGAATCAAATTCGCTTATTTTGCCTTGCTGTTTTTTCGGCTTCTTTAAGCCTATTGATCGCATGGACGGAACCGAACAGAACTTTGGCTGTGACTTGAATCCCTCTGGGATTTGGTGATTCCGAATTTTTGTCTGTAATATTCTTGTTTCCAGGTGCTGGATAGGTATTGTTATTAATGTCTCGTAACGTCATTGATTTGCAATTATTGGGCATTTTCAAAATATCCTGTTTATTCCATAAAAATTCGGTGCCTAATCTGCAAATAAAAATTTATTTTATTAAAGTCACTTTGATTTTAATTTGTGTCTATCTCATATTGAAAGTATAATGAGCTATGACTAATGCTAATCATATTTATTTACATTACATTAGATCACTTTGTAGTGATACACTCACCGACACGAATAACGGACACCTTAAAATTTTGAACAGGATGCTAAAAATTCGAGGTACGAGCATTGGTATCTCGGTAACCGTAATAGATACTAACATGGTTAAATTGGGGCAAAGTTGCTCTTTGGGATGTTTACCAAGATGCCATCAAAAAAGTTTTAAAAATTTCAAGGATTGCTGAGTTTTTTTGGAAAAATCGGATTTTTTCAAAAATCAATTTTATTTATTCCTGTCGTTACTTTTTAGAAAAACACAAAACTAACTACATATTCTCATTACCACTTTATTAGGGCTATCTGATGGTATTTTTAGATTTTCAAACTAGCTGATAATTTGTGAGATACAGAGGCGAAGTTATTTTTTTAAATACGGACCTGCATATTTTATTTGAAGTTTTGAAAGAACTCCGTCTCCTAAGTACAATAATATGCTACAATTTATACTTTTTATTTTTGTTTTGGATATCTTAACAACAACAAAATTATTTAATTAATATTTAAAATAATTTCAAGTCCGTCCCTGGTTCCTTAAATTATTTAATCTGATTATATTAATCGCAACAATATTGATCAGCGCTAATCAACATTGAATAAGAAAAATCGAACCAATTGGAAGATTCAAATAAATAATATCCAGGTCAGCAATTTAAAGATATTATTTTTAATCTAAGTTTTCAACAATAATTTATTGTGAATTTGAAAGCTCAGTATGCGATCTATTAATATGCGCAATTGATTTCACTTTTAAAAATGACATGAAGTAATGTCCCACACCAGAGGCGCAACTAGGGGGGGGGCCAGGGGGGCTTAGCCCTCCCAGATGACCAGTGCGTGTCGTATACAATTGCTTTTAACCTCACATGCATCTTATCTTATAGTGACCTAAGCCCCCCCCCCCAAAAGACTTCTGCCCCCCTAAAAGTATATGTCTAGTTGCGCCCCTGCCCCCACCTCACCCCTTGGCGACAGGTCCATCAGGAACCTCGCTGGCCATTATACTGCTCTACCATCCGGGGAAATGGTTTGATTGCTTATACCGTATGATCGAATAAAAACGGCGTCAGCAATGGCTATGAAATGAAGATCGCTGTCATTTTATATGTAAAATTATATTGGAAATGTCATCTCGTCGTCATTTCCACGCCAACTGGTCGCCATTTTATATCGATCATAAGGTATTTTATTATATTTATAATATTTATTTGTATATTACATATTTATATTATTTTATATTAAATTTTATTATTTTATTGCATTTGATTTTCCATATGCAATGTGTTACTCCACGGCATTGTTAAGTTTGAAAGCTTATCGATATTGTAACGATGAATATATTAAATAAAAAAAAAACAGAGCCGGACTTGAAATTAGTAAGTAGTAGTAAATTGTGTTCAAATGTCCGAAACAAAAAAATATTAAGTGTGCCATATCATTGTACAACAAACCTGAAATAAAAAATCCAGGTCCGTATTTAAAAAAATGAAGTTGGCTTCTGTATCTCACAAATTATCAGCTAATTTGAAAATTTAAAAATACTATCAGATAGTCCTAATAATGTGGCTATAAGAATGTGCAATTAGTTTTTTTTATTTTCTAAAAAACTCCGTTTTTTTTCCAAAAAACTCACAAATCCATGAAAATTTTAAAACTTTTTTGATTGCATATCTTGGTGAACATCCTAAAGCGCAATTCTACCCCAATTTAACCATGTTCGTATCTATTACGGTTACCGAGATACCAAGGCTCGTACTCTCGTACTCCGAATTTGTAGCACCCTGTATATTGTGTTTTAGTGGACCGATTTCGATGATCTTTTAAGGAATTTTATATAATCATTTATAGCTAAATGGTTTGAATTTTTATCTCTACATCTAAATTAAAAATGAAAGTTTCCATCTGTTAATTATACGAGGGAACACAAACTGTTGTTATTTTGGAAAAAGTTTAAAACACTCTGTGGAATATGTTAAAAAAGCACGGAATTTAAAAATCGTTTTATCATCTAGGTGCTTCTTTTCTCGATAGTTTATTTTTTAGTTTATTTCAATAGCTTTATTTTTTTTGGAGATATTTCCTTTCGAAGAAGACACTAACTTTTATTTGTAATTTTTACATTAAAACCATGCCTTTGCTTTTAGTCCCTGCCAACAGACCTATGAAAGAGTGTTTATGATTTATGTAATGTCACTGTTATTGAAACGTCATATTATTATTGTCTGTTGGGTGGCTTTAAGTCCAGAAGTTGTATCTGCTATAGTTGTTTTAATTGAAGATGATAGAGATAAAAAATGTCGCTAACAAATTTAGGTGTGCAAGACGTACGCAGTCGCTCCCGCGAGACAAATGCATACGCTAAACGTCCAAGAACCTTCGTAGAAAATTTCGAATCGAGTCAATCGACTTATTGTAAGTTTATCACTAAGAAACCGCCGTTTGCAAGCTTTTCAAATTTATAATGAACTAGCGTGTACCCACGACTTCGTTCGCGTCGAATTAATCATATGTAATGGTGATGATAAAGCAAAGCAGCAAGTATGTCCTTTAACATATTCAACTCATTTCAGCTCCTTAGAAAAATCCGTTTGCCAAAAATAAGCTTTTTACGTCAAGCAGTTTAAGCAAAATCGTGGTTAATCAATTAACCAACTTTTTGGAACACCCTGTATGGTATTTAAAAAAATTCAAAATATGTAAAAAACAAAATAAATTACGCGTGTCCAAGCGTTTTTTGACCTGAAGACTTACCGTTTTTTAAATAACAAATATTGTAATATTTGAGGGTCGTTTTCACCCTCTTGGAATATGAGATTCAAGAAACCCCTCCTTATCGAACCTCTACACCCCACGTCAATCCGTTTGCCAAAAATCAGCTTTAAATGTCAAGCAGTTTAAGCAGAATCGTGATTAATCAATGGTCATATTTTATGAAACACCCTGTATAAATTTTTAAAAAGTCTTAAAATATGTAAAACAACAAGATAAAATATACGTGTTTAAGAGTTTTTCCGAAAAACTCACCAGTTTTTAAACAGAAAATATTCTAATATTTGAGGGGTGGTTTCACTCCCTTGGAACTGGAATTTCGAAAAATCCCTTCTTATCGAACCTCTACACCCTAGAATCAACCTGAATGCAAAAACTGAGCTTCTTACGTTGAGTGGTTTGAGCAGGATCGTGATTAATCAGTGAGTCAGTCACTTAAGGATTTTATATATTGGTATGTATAGATTAACTGCACATAAGGAAAATGTAAGTACATATACGTAAGTGAACGGGGGACTGTAAGAAGAAAATTAAACGAAGCAAATCTTATGCTAAGGCCTGCTTTGAGACCAAAATTGACCAGGGCTGTTGACTGGGACCAAAAGCAAAGGCATGGTTTTAATGTGAAAATTACGAAAAAAGGCAGTATCTTCTTCAAAAGCAAATATCTTCAACAAAAATAAAGCTATTGAGATGAACCACAAATCAAACTATCGAGAAAGGATGTACCTAGATGATAAAATTATTTTCAAAGTTCTTGCTATCTTAACATATTCCACGGGATGTTTCAAACTTTCTCCAAAATATCAACATTTTGTTTTCCTTCGTATAATTGACAGATGGGAAATTTCATTTTTAATTTAGAAAGGTACACTAAAATGTCAAATAATTTAGCTACAGATGGCTTAAAAAATTATCAAAATCGGCTAACCAGAACAAAATACATAAAAATTTTAAGGTACCATTGCGATCAAAAAAAGTAGTACAACAAAATATGATTTAATCTGCTGGTCTATAATAAAATATTTTTAAAACTTGAAAAATTGTCCATTTTTGGTAGGTAAATTTTTTATACTTTTATTTCGCCACGTATACCTACTAATTATTACCAAATTCATGGTAACGCCTAAAAAGTTAGGTGGCATAATTGTATTGTTTTCATAGTGACGACGATATCCATATAGACCAGGAGTTCTATCTGGGACTACTAATTCTTGTACTACTTTTTTTGATCGCAATGGTACCTGTCTTTCGTGCTGATGCCGATGCCGCGCCGCGCCGCGGTAGGTGTATGTGTATATGTCACTGTAAATGTCCGAAATGCGGTAAAACCTAGGTTATACCGCATTTTGAGTTGGTTAGAGTGGTTATTTGGAGGGTGTTAATTCATTGGTAAATCCTAGGTTTAGCGCGTTTATCCTAGGTTTTACCGCATTTCGGACATTTACAGTAACATATATAAGTCAATAGAGAAAGTCCATTTTTAAGATGTCATATAAGAAATTCATTTCTCATTAACATGTCATTTAAGTTTTTTTTAATGAACAGATAATTGTTTTCCAATTGTAAAATTTCATTGGCATATAAGCTTCGAGTTAGTGGTACCTTATAGTGGGCAATAAAATGTAAAAAAATTGATCTGTGTTATAAGGGTTATACTAATACTAGTTGTCTTCGCCTTACAGTAAAATATTGGTAATAGCACAGTAAATAGGTATGCAGTAGTGATGTAACGAATATCAGTTTGTAAACATTACTAAATTAATAATTAACGAATATCTGCATCGCTGACATTCACGAATGCGAAATTAATTTGTTGTTAAAAGTATTACATAAAATATTACAGATGTTAGCAGATGTTATAGCGCTTTTTAAATATTACTTAATTATTTTCTAAACAAAGTTTAATAGTGGAATCTTGTTTGTTATATATTATACAATTAATTTTATGTATTTATTTATTTATTAATACTATTTTTTAATTATAAAATATTATTTTTTAAGTTCAAAATAAATGTGGATTTAAATGCGTTGGATAATATACCTATGTTTTCCTAGGTTTATTCTTGGTTTCATATAAAAAGTCAGTTCATAAAATGAA